ACTCCCACCCTTTGAGCTAGCTTTTGGGGTAGTGTATCCCAAGGTTCTTTACATGGTGTATCCCAAGGTTCGTTTGGGGTGGTGTGAGAGGGCGTGTTGAGATATATAGTCCCACAATGGTTGTATGTGCAATTAATGTGGAGTTTATAAGGCCTTGGGCACTCCTACCCTTTGAGCTAGCTTTTGGGGTGGTGTATCCCAAGGTTCTTTACATTTGGTGATTGGTTTCCATAAAAGAAATTTAAACTTTAGTTCTCATGACAGTGCTAACTTCACTCACTTGAAAGATACTGCTAGAGAGTGAATCACTGTTTCAGCATTGGCTTTGCTACTCTTGATCATTCAAATACTTGACTCCTTTATATGTGTTGTGCTCCCAAACAGTGTTTTTGGGTAGGCAATTTGTGCTACATCCAGCTACAAGTCTTGGTTTGTTATTCATACAAAAGAAAGTTATGCTGGAACATCAGAGTGACAATGTTCTCTGTCTCTTACCGTACATATGTTTGAATGGGAGGAAAGAAAATGATGTTGGATATGACTCACACGTCACAATGCTGACGAGGGTCCTTGTTGTCGGGGTCAGTAAAAGACAACTGGGATCCTGTTCTCAGGTGAGCTATCGGGGGTCTGCTCCCAGGTCTGTAGAGACTAGGTACTGTTGTGAACCTCTGATTTATTATAATTTTTTTTCCTTTTCTTTGTGTATGTGATTGTCAATTTCCAACAAATGAGAGGGAATAAAATCCTTCGCTTTTGTAATGATGAGTTAACACTAATACTATAAGATGGCTTGAGGGAAATATTTCTCGCTGGCTGTTACAGTAACGTGATGGATCATCTCAGAGAAAAAATGGGCACATAGGGACCCCTTAAGAACACCTATTTGACTCAATGTTCACCGACGTGTAAAAAAGGGCATCGCAGAATGATCAAATATTAATCATTGCCATCAGGCAGAAAAACTTACATGCATTTTAGCTTCAATAATGTGAAATGGATGTTCAATAAAAAAAAAAAAAAAAAATGGACCATAATGCAGTGGAGTATCACGAATGCTAATACAGATTGAACATGTTTACTTGAAAATCGAGGGGGGAAATTGATGCATGAAACATGTTCAGGGCCAGGCTAGTAAGATGTCAGTGGTCCTCCCCAGTTATATTATGAATCGTATTAGGAAGAAGTCTTGTATGGGAATATGGAAATATATGAGTTTGTTTGTTTTTTTGTGTGCCTAACCTCAACTTTTTAGCCATACATTAGTCTTCATTTTCAATGATATGATCATCAGCCTGGCTTCCACCTAAATAATTTAGCTTACATAGGTCACTGAACCTGAAAGAATTCTCTGCAGTCTGAGTGCGGAATTGATAGGAATTTGGAACTGCTTCTCTCAGCCTTCTAGCCTTAACCGCGTGGACCTAACCTTGTAGTTCTAGATTACTATGAATTTGGAAGCAAAAGCTTAACTCTTTCTAGAAAAGTGACAACTTGCAGCCATTATAATTATGAGCTTGGAAGTTTGAATTCTGAAATGTTAAGAATTATAGGATAGGACACAATTAACATACAAATAAGATTTGAGATACAGTCATACATCACATGAAACTCATATTGTATTAATATTAAAGTATAATTTTGAATTAAAATAAAGTCATCAATGTTTATGGGTCATGATCCTCACACATCAATACAGAGCACAACTCAGGCCTCAGTCTGTAGTGAATAATGTATCAACCAAGGCTCTAGAAGCTTTGGTCCAAGTCTAGAGAATGTTTTGGATCATGGTCCTCTTCGCACAACACCCCACATAGCTAGCTCAGTGCCCTGTGGCTCACGATTTTAGTTTTTCATTCATATTTGATCAAAGACTAACTTAAAGTACTCTATGGACTTTGCATTTATTAAGTGTGCTAAGGGAAGACCACCTTTCATTGTTGAATTTGCTAATTGAAGAGTAAGGAAAGGATGAGGATGAGGATGAGGATGATTCAATGCCAAAAGAGTACTAGTGTCGTATAACATTAATAAAAGCACTTTACACGGACACATGTTATAATGTTATAGTACGACTATTCAACGTGATTGCTAGCCATTCCTTGCATGGCAGGACAAGTGATTATGATGATGAAAGCAAGATAGGGACTAGGGACCCCCCTCTCAACAAGAAGTTCGAAGCTGAACTTGCAATTTTGACTGGTTTCAGATGCAACATTTCATTTATAACATTTTTGAATTTAGCTATGATATTTCGGTCAAGTTGGCTAATTTAATTATATGACCAATCTGGGACATGATATGAAATCATGTTGCTAGGAGAGTGATATATCTCTATCTCTCTTTTATTTATTGGAGAACCATTGCCCAAGGAATGACCCCTATTTATTCTCACACTAGAGAGATTTTACCTTCGCAACTTGCTATGAACTAATGAAATTTGTTTTGTGTCTACACTAGCCACTACTTCATCATTAATATGAAAATGTTTAGTTTAAGTGGGAACCAAAAAAAAAAAAGGACTTTGTTAGTGGGAGTAAACCGTAAAGTGGAGTTGGCTAGTGTTCTTCTTTTCTTAAGGTCCACACGCTAAAGACTCTTAAGAGAGTTAGAGAGCAAATGAGGAAGAAAATTGTAATAAATTAAAAAGGTCCAACTACTTCCACCGCAAAGTTGAAACTCAAATTAAAATTTTCCAAGTTGTGGAAAACTTAATCACTCGAAGATAAGCTAGAATCCCACGGTTTAAAATAATACCTATTTAAGAACTTCATGTCCTATAATGTTATATTGGAGCTATATAATAAAGTAATTCTCAATATTTGAAAGGTTGTAATTGGTAATTGCAACCCAAATACTTCGATTACGGAAGTCCCTTTTTCTTACATGGTTGTGTCCAACAAGCTGAACGACCCTCCACCAACCTTGTCCCACCTTGTGGCCCAATTAAGGGCTTGTTTGAAATCAATTTTCAAAAACAGTTTTATGATTTTTTTTTTTTTAAAAATCATTTGGTAAAGCCTGTTTTGTAATTTTTTTTTAAAAACTATACCTGTTATTTTGTTTTTAGAATAAAATTTAGAGATCTTGTTTGAGTTGTTTTTGTTTTCTGTTTAGGTTTTCAACTTTCAAAACAAATAAGCCATCGAAAACAACTATTTCCATGACTGTTCTACAAAATAGTTTTAAGAAAAAAAAATCAGAACACAGTCAAACAGATCGTAACTCTCTTTCTTGCACACATAAAAACACATATGCATATATTCTGCAAGCAGAATCTTTGTGAATAAATATATAGCAAGGATTTTGGTAATAGTTAAGGGAGTAGAAAGATATAGTGTTATTAGAGAGATATAATATAAAATAATTGAAGGTCCTTCATTTATAAATTTAAGTTGTTGGATTAAATTGATTGTTTATTATGGTATATCCACACTTTAAAAACAAAAGTCTCTTATGTGAGAGAGTGTGTTAGAGAAACATAATATAAAACAACTAAAGACTCGTCACTTATAAACCGAAGCTTTTAGGTGAAATGGTTGCTTATTTGTGATAGCAACCCTAATAACTCACTTTAAGTAGTTTAGTGTGGACCAAAAGTTGATGTTGGCCTCGCTACATTAGAACTAAAATTATAATATATGAATATGAGAACAAAATAACATTTCAGTTTCATCATGGAATCTTTTAGTGAGAGCTGTTAGCCAAAAAAAGTTTAATATATATTATCAATTTGTTGAATTAATTCAGAAAATTAAAAATTTTGTGACCACCTAAACCAAAGAATTTTAAAATGGAGAGAACGTATGTTTATTTTTGCTTTGTCCTCCGAGGCTGCTGCTTATTGTGTTGTCTATTATGATATGGTTTAGGGGCAAGAGGAAAAAATCGGAAACAAACAAATGGTGAAGAGTAATGTCATAATGTCTCATCTATATATATACCTTCCTTAATTTTGCACGTAAAATAATTTTGGGAAAGGAGTTTTGTTTTTTAATATGAATTTCAGCCAGGAAGATTCATTCAAGCACCTTAATTAATTACAATATGACATTTTGGGTTTTCTGGGTTGAAATTATGCTGTTACATGAGTCCAACAAAGCTGGAGAGTGAATAGGACAGGTTGCTCGCTCATAGGTTTCTTTTTCTAACTAGTTTGGGAAAGGCACTTTACCAAGGTAGGCAAACCACAAAGGTTTTCGTAGAAAATGAAAAAAATAAATTCCATATTGAAAGAAATTACTTGTGTTGTGACATTACACAACACAAATATATCAATACGAACATGATACAAATTTTTATTCGTATCAAAATTTTCAACATGAATACCAGCAAATTCTGCAGGTTGACAAGATATGACACATATAATATACAAATTGAATTTATAAGTTTTTGACATTGACATGAATCACTTTTTGTATTAGATAACATGACACGATACAGATAACACGCAAATTGAAATTTACGAGTTTTTGACACCGACACGAATAATTTTTTGAATGGGTTGATGCGACATGATACAACATGAATTGGTTAAAATGTTAAACGGCTAAAAAAATACGGGTCAAATGAGCGTTTGCGTGTTGAAATGTGACATGACACGAATTTTACGTGACATATTTTGCTAATACGAACACTACACAAATTTAAATATAGGTCAATCCAAACACGAATTTTTATATTATATTTGTTTCGCGTTAAGAATTGATACCCTTAACGATTATTATTACTAATTCTTTAAATTGTTTATTAAAGTAATGGGAGCAAAAACACAATGAGAATGTGTCTTGAAAACGGTTTTTCAAACATGAAGAGTTTTCCATAGAATCAGCCAAATCCAATACACCTAACGAAGAAGTGGGGAAACCACGAGCAGCCACGTTGGTTAACGAATTCAACGGTGACGTAACATTTCCATGTGATGACGCTTTTACTTGCTTCTCATTTCCTTTATAAAACCCCAAGTTTTGGCTTCCATCCAAACCAACCCCACACACCTCTTCTTCTCTCTCTGTGTCCCTAAAATACACAAAGAAGCAGACAAACACAAAGGGTATACACAAAAAACAGAGAAAAACATGGAGAGCAGTGACACAAACACCCCAACTTACTCTGCCCCACTTTCTCACTCTCCCACTTCCTCATCCTCCTCACCACAACCACAACCACCTCCTCATGTTATCATGACCCCTTGTGCTGCATGCAAGATTTTGAGGCGAAGATGTGCTGAGAAATGTGTATTGGCACCTTATTTCCCTCCCACTGAACCTGCAAAGTTTACCATTGCTCACAGAGTCTTCGGAGCCAGCAACATCATCAAACTCTTACAGGTAGTTATTATAGGACAAAGGCTACCAATTATAATATAATTAAGACTTCAAAACATCTTGGTTCAATTACTCTTTTTTTCCCCCCTTGTCTCCGCCATTCTAGTCCTATAATTAAACTCTCAATTAAAAGACCTATCTTCGTTTGTAAAGATGTTTGTGCTATTTAAGTGAAAATTAGAGAAACCAAACAAACAAGTGAATCTTGAAAATGTGTTCAAGATCTTTTATATATATATAATATATATATACAAGGGAACGACCGTTTACAAATTTTTTTGAATTTTTTTACAAATTATACTATCTTCTCTCGATAGAACATAGTATAGTTTGTAAACAAAAAAGTTTGTAAATATAACTTGACCCATATGTATATATATATTATAATAATAATAATAATAATATTTCTCATGTTGTAGGAGATAACTTACACACATATTAAATAAAGTTAGTATATAAGACTCATGTTTTTTTTTATATGGCCCTCACATATTTTTATGTGTGTGTAAGAAATAAAATTATTATATCTTATAATATGAGAAACATTAATCTTATTATATATATATATATATATATATATATATATATATATATATATAAGAAAATGTTATATTTACAAAATTTTTGTTTAGAAACTCTTACAAACTACACTAAGTATGATCGGTCATACTTCAATCAAGAGTGTATGACCGGTCATAGTGTAATTTATAAAAAAAGTTTATAAACAGATCTTTTTCCATATATATATATATATATTTCCCTTATTAATTTTCCCACTTACTTTAGGATTAATAACAATATATGAAAACTAAATGATGGTACTTCAGTTAATGCAGGAGAGTTGAGCAAGTAGGGTGAGAACATATTCGATCCTCCATATTATCATCTTTAAAAAAATTTAAAATATTAATCTTAAATATGCTTCAAACAAAATTGCCTCGTTTATGAAAAAATAACAATCTATAGGAATCTCTACATTATTGAGTTCATTGAGTTGGTAGTTTACATTATTGAGTTATAGTTACCTGTGCCATCCCATCATCACCCAATATAGTGCATCAACTTGTACGTAATCTATTGAAAAGTCCCAAGAAAAAAAAAAAAAAAATGTGTGCTACACGTCTCGGCATCCTCTCTGAGGACAAAAATGATAAGACTAGTCTGCAATGAACAAAAGTGCCTAATTTTTATTGTTACCCTGAAACTTTGACAGTGACGACAAAGTATACAGACAAATAAATATTTTACGCACCACATTTTAGCAGGGAAACTTGAAGAGTAAACAAATATTGGTGGAGACACAAACCGTAACAATGCTTAATTATGTGAAGCTCTTGTCATTTTTATTTATTTTTTGGTCAATCGGGACCCTATTTTCTAATTGGACGAAATGTAGCTCCGTACTTGGTGTTATAATGACTCAAAATGAATGCATTTTCAAGTTTCAACCACCTAATTTTAACGAATATCTAATGGTGGTCCTCCTAGTAGTTATACTTAACACTCTTAGTCTTCAACTTAATAAAATAATTGAGAAACAGAACTAGTCAATATATACATATTTTTAAATATATTTTATTGATTGTATCATTAAATATTTTTTGCCTATAGTATTTTCTGAAGGGTAGAAACTTGTGCATTTTATTATCTAAACTTTTTGTTGCTTTTTTTAATTTTTTCAGGAACTTCCAGAGTCTCAAAGAGCTGATGCAGTGGCTAGCATGGTTTACGAGGCTAGTGCAAGAATAAGAGACCCAGTTTATGGTTGTGCAGGATCAATTTGCCAGCTCCAAAAGCAGGTCAATGAGCTTCAAGCACAATTAGCCAAGGCACAAGCTGAGCTTGTGAACATGCAATTCCAGCAAGCCAATCTTATGGCTTTAATTTGCATGGAAATGACACAAAGTCCACAGGAATCACCACAACAATCTGCGGATAACTTCATTTTGAGTCCTCCCCACAGCAATGGCTATCAAATTCAAAGCGGTATGAACTTCTTTGAGGAGAACACTAGCATTAACTCATTATGGGAACCTCTTTGGACATGAAGGAGAACTATATCAATATTTAATAGTTAGACAATATTCAAAAAGTGTTCCGTGACTATCTCCTAAGGAGAAGTTCAAAGAATCAATTAGAACTAATAAAAGTAACTTTGTAGCTAGGATTTATGTAGTAATATAGGTTGATTCCCTGTATGCGGAAAAAATTGGAGGAAAGAATGTAACTTGGGATCTACTCTTTTTTTTTTTTGAATACAGGGATCTACTCTCTTTATGCAAGTAAATGAGTCTCAGCATCTTCCTAAGATTAGTAGATGTTGTTTTCCTCCATGTACTCTAGAGAAAGGAAAAAGTTATGTTATAGAGTTTTTGATTATTTACATTGCTATTTTGAATCTTAAAATTGTTAGGTACGACTCATATTTTACAATTAGATGATGACTTTTCTTTGCGTGACGCGGCTCATAAATAATTGTTGTTACTTAGGGTTTCTAAATTTATTTGTATTCCTTTTGTAAATTGAATGAGTAATAACGAGTGTGGTGAGAAGAATATATTGCTAGACGTAATCCGCATTGGATGAATCAAGGCAATCTGTGTCCAATGGTGGACCTGAGATTTTTTGTGATGAAGACGAAAATAAAATACTAAAGTTACGAGTGTTATTAAGAATAATAAAATGAAGTGAATATTATAAGTATTTTTTAGGGAGAGACTAATTATTAGCACTAATAGTTTAATATTATTAAACAAATATAATTATATATAATAATAAAATAATCAAAGTTTAGGGATGAGCGACTGTTAATATTCATCCCTCCGCGCTTGTGTGTGTCTCTACTTTTTTTTTCCCCCTTTTCTCTCTTTTTTATTTACACTTGTGTGTGTGTGTGAGCATGTTCGGTCCCAAAAAATAAACCCATTTTATGTCACCTACTATAATATTCAAGAAATTGAGTAGTAACTTTTGACCATCTCTTGGCTTTGTTGACCATCTCTTGGCTTTGGATTCGTTATGTTGTTCCATAATCCAAAGTTTCGTGTCAATCAATAGGGAACACTAGGCAACGTCAAGATGGAAGACTGGACAATCACCAAGTAGCTAGCTAATACAATGCCTTAGAGCAATGATAAAAAGTATATTGTTGCGATGAGTAAGAGCGATCGAGTTGTTACTTTTGTAACATTCCCTGTTAATAGATGATGAAAATAAGAGTTTAATGATAAGCAAAAGGCAAAGATGCTCCCTTGATATAATAAAGTTCATAATCTTTTGCTTGATTTTGTTCACTCTCCAATTTGTCTTTTTGGAGAATCTACCAATTGTGGTCCAAGCTGTAAATCAACAATATAAGATAATCTGATGAATATAAAAAGAATAATTTATACCAAAATTGTATGTTTCATTGTCACCGTGCTAACCAACTCTTTTTACTTGCCCCTACCGTTAATAGTTTAACTGAAAATAAGTTGTTTGATAGGCCTATGTTAAAGTAATCGTTGAGAAGGATAATATCATTATGTTGAACAAAAAATAATTTCACACTTAAAAAGGGCGTACAGAAACTTGTAATTTTTTTTATAAGAAAACTCTTCTACTCCTTTGAATTCATCAATTTCCACGGAAGAATTAGAAATTTTGGGAGAAGATATTTTGTGAGCCTGGACCATGGTGGTCTTTTTTCAAAATAGAAAAAAAGGGAGGATGAAGAGGGAAAAAAATCAAGAAGAGAGGAATAGAAATAAAAGAAATTTTTTCATTTATGGAAAAGGGACCACTGAATAAGTGGTGGATCTGGAGCATATTAAATTTTCCGAAACTTTGGGTTGATCGACCATTTTACTCCCTTTTAAAATTAATTTATCACTTTGTTCATTTTCTTAAATTATATATCAATTTGTCTCATTTTCAAATTATATATAAATCTGTGCATGTTTGCCCAATATACTTGACTGACGTTATTTGACTTATTTATTCATTTATTTGAATAAATATCGGTTAAATAAGGATAAATAAATATATAATTTAAAAAAAGGGACAAATTGATATTTAATTTAGGAATTAAGATAAACTGATAAATTTTTTTCAAAATAAGGACAAAATAATCAATCAATTAAAACTTTGTCAATATACGATTAAAAAAAATGATGGGAATCACCAATAGTTTTTAATCTTTATTATCTTTAGTCATGCATAAATAGGAATCCATTCAAATTTAGGTGGGTTTAGTTTAACTGAGTTTAATTTAATTTCATTCATAATTAGGATATTTGCGCATTTGTTTTCTTACTGGTTATTTAACTTACTCAGAGTAAAGCTAATAAAGAAGATTACTAATATAAAATTAATTCAGTTTCTTTTTACGTGTTTCAAAAATAAAATAAATCTGCCGAAATACCCTCATCTAATACCAACTTTAATATTACTCTAAATAAAATTAGTTTCACATTTAACAGGTTCAACTCAAATCATGAAAATTATTTTTTAAATTAAATCGAATAAACACTATAATTGTTTGCTAGGATCACTTTCACACTTTACTTTCCGAGAGAAGTAATGAAGTTTAGTGAGCATATGGGGAGCAGCACACGTGCTTATGCAGAACTACAATGATTACTGCTATTAAATGGAGGTAGTTCAATTGTTGTATGAGAGCTAAATAGATAAGATGAGAGTATGTGTTCGATCATCTCCAATACTACATTTGGGAATAGCTTAAAGCCTTAATTCTGAACTCACTTCAAATTAGATTAATTGCAAAGCGATAAATCGATAAAATATTTTTAAAAAAAATCAATAATGGCTGGCATGTGTCTCTCAGCGCACGTGCTTATGCAGAACTATAATGATGCTGGCATTTGTCTCACGGCCTTTAACGCGTTTGCGGTCTATATTTCAAATCATGGGATGCCCACGTGAGTTATCACTCATCACTAACTAGTCGGTAACTGATTAATATCTCTTTATCATTTCTCAAAACCCTGAATTTAAGATGTTTAAAAATTATGAAAATGGATTCTTTCATATTAGAATTTTACATAATTATGATGTTATGAGAAATATTTCAATCATTCATTTATCGATTAATAATCACAATTTTAATGAAGAATTTGTAAAGCAAAAAAGTGAAACATTTTCCTTCAATCGTTCTTTCCTTCAAATTATAGCATGCACATTTTAAACTCCAATTTAAGTTAAGGTGTATCAACTAAATTTTGTTCACAGATAATATATTTGATAAAATTAATAATTGGTTTTAATTTAATATTTAAATAAAAGTAAAAAAAATAAAGATTTAACATTACATTAAGCCAAATCATATTTTATGCGAATTATAAATTTCAACACTAATAATTTTATACATACACTTTTTTATACGTCTCTTCCACTTTTAGGATAAAAAGGGAAAAAATAATATATAAATAACGTTATTATCGGTTATTATATTTTAGAGAAATTCTCGCAATTTTATTTTTTGGTAGATAAATTCTTGTAATTTTAATGAACTAACCTATTAAAATATAGGAAAAAATATTCTCGTGTTGTTGAAAAATAATTCTTTTTACTATAGACCCATCAATTTTTGTGTTACTTTTTTTTATGAGTGAATGAGCTCTATCATATACTTATGTTTATAATAGAAGATAAAATATTTCATTTAACATAAGATTAATTAAATTCTTAATTAATACAGTTAAATTTTGATAAGAATCCTTTTCCTATTTTATGTGCGCGAGGAGAAATCCGTACGTTTGCTTTTTGACTTTATGTTTAGCATTACACCGGGTAAATGACATCATAATCATGACTTGTACATTGTCGTCCCTTAAGTGGTCTTTTTTAATTTAATTGGTCTCACGACATTGCTTTTT